GAGAGGGGGTTTCTCTATGTTGCCCAAGTTGGTCTCGATCTCCTGGCCTCAAGTGATCCTCCTGCCTCAGCCTCCTGAAGCACTGGGATTATAGGCAAATGCTACTGGGCCTGGCCATTCAGTTTTTTTGAGTGAAACCAGCCCAGATGTGATCTCCTTGGCATATGTTGTCATTGTGGTGACCTGTGTAAAACACTCAGCTCCTTTCTTAAGCACCTTCCTGTTTTGGGTATATAAAATTGCCACTTGAAGGTTGAGTCTCCTCCATAATGTATTCATGAAATGTAGTTGGCTTTCAGCTCCTTCTCTTTTCTAACAAAAATAAACCTGTCAGTACACAGATTAAACAGGAAGCCAACATATAAAAGCCTTCAAGAACTCTTGGCCTGAGGCCCTGGTGGAACATTCCCAGTGACAGCTGCCTGGTAAGGAGGAGACCTGCCTAGGATAGCCCCAGGGCCTCTGGGCTCATCAGCTCTGTACCTGCCAAAGTGGGTCTGCAGGTAGGACGGAGGTGATAGGTGAACCCTGACACCTGTGTAGGCTTTGTGTGTGTGTGTGTGTTCTCTGAACTATTGAGGCCCTCTTGGGTTTTTCTGTTGAAAGTGGTCTTGTTCCTGTTTCTTTCTGCACTTGACCTCTAGGGTCAAGCGATCGTCCCACCTCAGCCTCCCAAGTAGCTGGGACTATAGGCACATGCCTCCACGCCTGGCTAATTTTTTTTTTTTTTTTTAATTTTTTGTAGAGACAGGGTCTTGCTGTGTTGCCCAGGCTGGTCCAGAGCTCCTGGCATCAAGCAGTTCTCCTGCCTTAGACTCCAGAGTGCTGGGATTACAGGTGTGAGCCACTGCACCCAGCCCAGTTCCTTCTGCTTATATCCCTTCATACTTCCTGCCTGGAACACCCTCCCCTCTGCATTCCTTGTTTGAATCCTACTAGCTTTCCGAGGCCCACTGGAGGTAGAATGCTGCAGAACCTTCCCAGTAGCCCAGGCATCACCAGCTCCCATTTTTGATGCCTTGAAGAACATACACTGTCTATTTGGACGTTGATTTAATTGTAGCATCTTGTCTTGTGTTCTTAGATGATGTCAGGTATGGAAGTCTGTGAAAGCTACGAAGGTTGTGGGAGGGAGAGACTGCCTGGTTCTTCATTTGTATCCTCCATGGTATGTCATACGTGCTTACACGATGGCTTTGTTGAGGGTTAAGTTGAACTTGCCCTCTCTTGGGTTGCCATGTGCCAAGGAGTGTTTCTTCTTCCTCCCTTTTTTTTTTTTTTTTTTTTTTGCAGGGGGCCAGAGTCTTGCTCTGTCACACAGGTTGGAGTGCAATGGCGCGATCTTGGCTCACTGCAACCTCTGGCACTGAGGTTCAAGCGGTTCTCCTGCCTCAGCCACTGCTGGCTATTTTTTTTTTTTTTTTTTTTTTTGAGACAGAGTGTTGCCCAGGCTGGAGTGCATCTGTGGGATCTCTGCTCTCTGCAACCTCTGCCTCCCAGGTTCAAGTGATTCTTCTGCCTCAGCCTCCTTTGTAGGTGGGACTACAGGTGCGCGTGCCACCATGCCCGGCTAATTTTTGTATTTTTAGTAGAGACAGGGTTTCACCATGTTGGTCAGGCTGTTGTCGAACTCCAGACCTCATGATCCGCCCGTCTTGGCCTCCTAAAGTGCTGGGATTACAAGCATGAGCCACCACGCCTGGCCCAATTTTTGTATTTTTAGTAGAGACGGGGTTTCACCGTGTTGGCCAGACTGGTCTTGAACTCATGACCTCAGGTGATCCACCCACCTTGGCCTCCCAAAGTGCTGCAATTACAGGCATGAGCCACCACGCCCGGCGCCTTTTCTTTTTTCTCTTTTCTTTTTTTCTTTTTGAGACGAAGTCTCACTCTGTCACTCGGGCTGGCATGCAGTGGTGTGATCTTGGCTCACTGCAACCTCCACCTCCTGGGTTCAAGCAGTTCTCCTGCCTCAGCCTCCCAAGTAGCTGGGATTACAGGCATGTGCCACCATACCCAGCTAATCTTTTTGTGTTTTTAGTAGAGACGGGGTTTCACCATGTTGGTCAGGCTGGTTTCGAACTCCTGACCTCAAGTTTTCTGCCCACCTTGGCCTCCCAAAGTGCTAGGATTATAGGCGTGAGCCACCACGTTGGGCTGCGGCTCTCAGCTTGTATGAAGGCTGTGTGCGGACTGACCACGTGACCTGGAGCAGTACAGGGGGCACCTGATGTTTGGATGATCTGAGAGATGGCGGAAGTGCTGTGAGGCAGGGGAGACGTTGATTCTATGCTGCTGTTGCCTGTTCCCCCACCCCCCACAGACCATGTTTCATTAGTGAACGTGAGACTCTAGGCCCCTTGGGACCTCGGGTTGATGGGTCGCTGTGCACCTTTCCCATTGTCTGGTGGTTTCTGCTGCACTGAAGGGTCCTTCGCTCTCCTCTCTTGAGCTTTGCAGGAGGGTGGCCCGGGATTTAGGAAACCCAGGCAGCGAGCCCTGCTTTACACATCTAGGCCTTTCATCTGCAAGCTGATGCCTGTGAGTGTCATCACCCCTCTAGAGACAGTACGGGAGAACAGCTGTTTCCCACCTCTGCACTGGGTGGCCACGGCCAGTCACAGACTTCCAGGATCCACAGAGCCAGCACCTTCTGCTGTTGACTAAGGTTTTCTTGGCAGTGAATCGGCAGTGACAGACCGGTGGGCTTTCTGGGAAGCGCAGCTGTGGGCCATCTGGTGTCTGTGCAGGGACATTTACGAAGCCTGGGAAGATTGAGGGCTTTATCGTGAAGCAAGCGAGTGAAATCATCTTCCTGGAATTTTGGCCATTCAGGCCTTGGGATGTCCAAGCGTCCTCTCTCCCAAGTCCCTCTTGAGGTCACACGCTGAAGTGGGTTTTCCTGCTGCTGTTTGCAGGACTAGGATTCATAGTAGCTCAGGTCTGTGTGGGGCTCTGGGTGTGCAGTCCCTCCACCCCCGTCTCCCGCAGGCTTTTTAGTCACTGAGGAGCAGAAATGAAGCTCTGTGGGCAGAAATGCCTCTCCTCCAGCCTTGGCCTCAGTGGAGTGTGGAGTCCGCCAGGGGTGCAGCTTTATGTGGTCGAGCTAACGCTGGCCAGAGATGGTGTGTGACCCCACCAAACAGGATGTGGCTGACGGTGAAGGGGCACGGCTCATCATCACTCTTCTTTTTTTTTTTTCTTTGAGATGGAGTCTTGCTCTGTTGCCCAGGCTGGAGTGCAGTGGCACCATCTCATCTCACTGCAACCTCCGCCTCCCAGGTTCAAACAATTCTCCTGCCTCCATCTTCTGAGTAGCTGGGATAACAGGCACCTGCATCATGCCCGGCTTATTTATTTATTTGTTCGTTTATTTGAGACAGTCTCTTTTGCCCAGGCTGGAGTGTAGTCGCGTGATCATGACACCCTGAAAGCTCTGCCTCCCGGGTTCACGCCATTCTCCTGCCTCAGCCTCCCGAGTAGTTGGGACTACAGGCGCCCGCCACCACGCCTGGCTAATTTTTTCTATTTTTTAGTAGAGACAGGGTTTCACCGTGTTAGCCAGGATGGTCTCGATCTCCTGACCTCGTGATCCGCCTGCGTCGGCCTTCCAAAGTGTTGGGATTACAGGCGTGAGCCACCGCGCCCGACCTGTCTTTTTATTTTTAGTAGAGATGGGTTTCACCATGTTGGCTAGGCTGATCTTGAACTACTGCCTCAGGTAATCTGCCCGCCTCAGCCTCCCGAAGTGGTGGGATACAGGCGTGAGCCACCGTGGCCGGCCACGGCTCATCATTACTCTTGAGAGGGGCTCATTTTCTCCCTTCTCTCCCTGCTCCAGCTTTTCTTTCCAAGTCTGATTTTGATTGATTGAGACAGGGTCTTGCTGTGTCACCCCGGCTGGAATGCAATGGCATGATCAGAGCTGGGAGAACAGCCTTGAACTCTTAGGCTCAGGAGATCCTCCTGCCTCAGCCTCTTGAGTAGCTGGGGCTACAGGTGTGTGCTACCATGACCAGTTAACTTTTTTTTGAGACAGGGTCTTGTTCTGTCACCCAGGCTGGGGTGCAGTGGTGCGATCTTGGCTCACTGCAACCTCTACCTCCTTGGTTCAAGCGATTCTCCTGCTTTAGCCTCTCGAGTAGCTGGGGCTACAGTCACACACCACCACGCCCAGCTGATTTTTGTATTTTTAGTAGAGATGGGGTTTCACCATATTGGTCAGGCTGGTCTGGAACGCCTGACCTCTGGTTATCTACCTGCCTTGGCCTCCCAAAGTGTTGGGATTACAGGTGTGAGCCACTGTGCCCTGCCTGCCCAGCTAATTTTAAACAATTTTTTGTAGACACTGGGTCCCGCTATATTGCCCAGGCTGGTCCTGAACTCCTGGACTCAAGCAGTCATCCTGCCTTGGCCTCCCAAAGTGCAGGGATTATAGGCCTGAACCATCATGCTCAGCATAAATTGGATTTTTAAAGAGAAAAGTTTCTTTTTCTGGGTACTTCCTTGAATAGAAATCTTGTTTATCTCATGAGTCATAAAGTGGGGCGTCTGGGCTGTAATCATGAGACTTCTGCCACACTTACCGTTCTGCTCAGTGTCTTTTAGTGGTGGCTGCAGGCACATTTTTTTGAGGTAGATTCATTAGAAGGTTGCCATATGGTGGCAAACCATGTGGTAGCTTTTATGAGTTTACTTGTGGATGCTCTAAATTTGGTTCCTGAGTTGTTTGGAATTAAAGTTTGGGGTTTATCTATAGGTACTGACACTTCTCAAGTTGCTCGATTAGTAGGCTTTTTAAGGAATAAGAGGAAAGGCCGAAGGAAAAATCCTTTAGCAGGGCTTGAGTTGGGCTCACTTTTGAAAATGTTCTAGAAAATCTGACATTCATAACACAAACAACACACCCATCTCCCAGCCCCTCTTCACCCACCAGTAACTGAGAGGGACTTCTGCAGAAGTATTTGAGGTATGACCCAGTTGCTTATTTCTTTAACCAGGTCACCATGGCTGTTACTGGCTCCCCTGCTGTCCCCCACTGTTCCCCAGGTCACCTCCCCACCTTGCTGCCTGTGTCCGGAAGGCGTGCACCGGTTCCAGTGGATCAGAAACCTGGTTCCAGAATTTGGAGTCTCCAGTTCTCACGTCAGGGTGCTTTCTTCCCCAGCAGAGTTTTTTGAGCTCATGAAGGTAAGTTGTATCTAAAGGAAAAAAGTTTGAGTTAGAGCTTTTGGGGGATTAGGTTTGTGAGTCCTGAGTGCTTTCTAGTCTAGAAACTTTTGATAGCTGCTCAAGCTTCTTCCTTCCTTCCAGGTTTTACCTGTCAGGTTTCAGCTTCATGGATGGTTGAGCTGAGCCACAATCGGAAACTTGCCTGCGGGGCCAGTGTCTCAGGTGGAGAAGCTCTGAGAAGGCAACAGTGAGAACAAGGAACTAGACCTCATTTTTATTTATTTATTTTGTTATCTTTGAGAAGGGGTCTCACTATGTTACCCAGGCGGGTCTTGAACCACTGGGCTGAAATGGCCCTCCTGCCTTGGCCTCCCAAAGTACTGGCCACCGTGTGCGGCCACGGGCCTAGACTTTGATTCTTATGGGTGCACTGATTCCTTTTGTTCCACGGTGAAGTTGTGACCACGAGAAGGGAGGTTAGTGAGGACTGAGGACCCGTGGGCCACACGGGTATGTCCTTGCTAAAGGTGACAGGGCAGGAGGGCATCTTCATCTAGTCTGTGCATGATGGACCCCTAACCCTGGAATCATCTCCAAACACAGTATGAGTGTCATCTTGGTAGATGTAATAGGAAGTAAAAACTCGTGGGTGCGATTTGATATGCATGAAGAGGCCTTTCAAGGTAACGGGGAATTTAGACATCCTGGGTCTAAGCCTTGTAGTCTTGATTTTTTTTTTTTTTGAGACGGAGTCTCGCTCTGTCGTCCCGTCCAGGCTGGAGTGCAGCGGCCGGATCTCTGCTCACTGCAAGCTCCGCCCCCTGGGTTCACGCCATTCTCCTGCCTCAGCCTCCCCAGTAGCTGGGACTACAGGCGCTGGCCACCGCGCCCGGCTAGTGTTTTGTATTTTTAGTAGAGACGGGGTTTCACCGTGTTAGCCAGGATGGTCTTGATCTCCTGACCTCGTGATCCGCCCGTCTTGGCCTCCCAAAGTGCTGGGATTACAGGCTTGAGCCACCGCGCCCGGCATAGTCTTGATTCTTTAGGGACTCTGTCTTAAGTGTGTGCCTTTCCTCTCCTGGTAGTGATGTAAGTTTTGCATTTGGGGGTTCAGCTTTCAACGTGTTACTCAGGTTTACATGCCACATCTAGTTATTCTGGTTAAACTGCTAATTGGAATGAAGTAATTCAACACTAATTAATTTTTAACAGCATGAACTATGAGTTTGTATTAGCAGTGATATTAGAATGAAGGTCTAGGCCAGGCATGGTGGCTCACGCCTGTAATCCCAGCACTTTGGGAGGCTGAGGCGGGTGGATCACCTGAGGTCAGGAGTTAGAGATCAGCCTCGTCAACATGGTGAAACCCCGTCTCTACCAAAAATACGGAAGGGTGGTGCACACCTGTGAGCCTAGCTAGTCAGGAGGCTGAGGCAGGAGAATTGCTTGAACCTGGGAGGTGGAGGTTGCAATGAGCCAAGATCGCGCCATTGCACTCCAGCCTGGGCAACAGAGCGAGACTCTGTCTCAACAAAAAAAGAAGAATGAAGGTCTGATGGGGCCAGGCCAAGCAGGCAGAATGCTGGGAGACAATAGGAAATCTAGGTAGAGACTCATCTTTGTGCGGAAAATGAACTCTCAGTCATTTGAGTGCCTGCCCATTTTCTCTCCTTTTGCGCTTTTGTTCTGTTTGTTGATCCACACTTAGCTTGACTGGTTCATTCAGAATGCGTTCTGTGTGTGCATACAGGCGTGGCCTTTTGTTCTCCCCTCATCCGCCTCCCTGCACTGCTCACCTGTCCTGGGCATCCTTGTTTGTACCAAATGGTGCTGCAGCTGTTGGCTCTTTGCTCCTACTTGATTCTCTCCTCAAGTTGAAGAAACAGGTTTTTCTTTTCTTTTCTTTTCTTTTCTTTTTTAAGATGGAGTTTGCCCGGACTGGAGTGCAATGGCACGATCTTGGCTCATCACAACCTCCACCTCCTGGGTTCAAGTGATTCTCCTGCCTCAGCCTTCTGAGTAGCTGGAATTACAGGCATGCACCACCATATGCCTGGCTAATTTATATTTTTAGTAGAGACAGGGTTTCTCCATGTTGGTCAGGCTGGTCTCGAACTCCCGACCTCAGGTGATCTACCTACCTCGGCCTCCCAAAGTGCTGGGATTGCAGGCGTGAGCCACCGTGCCCAGCCTGAAGAAACAAGTTTTTCAAAGGCAATTCTTCTCTGTCCTAATCAACTCTGGGAGGATGACTGACTGTCTCCATGTAGTGATCCCCTGGCCAGGAGGTCGGGCCCTGCCTGAGGAGGGTGGGCCTGCAGAGAGCAGGAAGGGGCAGAAGGGCTTGCCCCAGCAGGTGGAGAATACGCCAGGGCCTCCTTTCCCTGCAGTCTGCGCTGAAGTGTGGGCAGATTCTCCTAGTGTGTGTCACACTGAGTAGCACGTTTCTTCCCAGGGCACACAGCGAGAAGGGAGGACGGTGCTGGTTTCTGCCTGGTTCCCATGCCTTCGCTACATCTGTAGGACCTGGTGTCTTGTAGTAAACAGATATGCTTTGGTTGCCTGAACTAAATTGTCTTATGCCTTCTTTCTCAATCTTTCTTTTTTCTCTTTCTCTCTGACTTTCTCTCTTTCTGTCTTTGTCTTTCTTTCTGTCTTTCTTTCATTATTTTTTTGAGACGGAGTCTCGCTTTGTCGCCCAGGCTGGAGTGCAGTGGCTCGATCTCATCTCACTGCAAGCTCCACCTCCCGGGTTTATGCCATTCTCCTACCTCAGCCTCCCGAGCACCTGGGACTACAGGTGCCCGCCACCTCGCCCGGCTAATATTTTGTATTTTGTTTTAATAGAGGCAGGGTTTCACCGTGTTAGCCAGGATGGTCTCGATCTTCTGACCTTGTGATCTGCCTGCGTTGGCCTCCCAAAGTGCTGGGATTACAGGCGTGAGCCACCACGCTCGGCATCTTATGCCTTATTTATTTTTCCCTTTCTTTATAATCATTACCCCCACAAACATCTATTTTAATTCATAACAAAACAAAGGAAATAGCAACCTTGGGAAGTTGCTTTGTTTTTTCCTTGTCCGGAAGCCTTTCCTAGTGATTGTTCATGTTTCTGTCTAGTCAAGTTGTCTGTCATCCTGTGTTGATGATGCAGGGTGGGCTGTGATGTTCCTTCTGATAGAGAAGCAGGTAGATGTGAAGCTGCCTCCCTCTCACCTGGGTCTCCTGTGTATCTTTTGGTAGCACTGCCATTCTTTGTACCCCTGCCATTCTTTGTACCCCTGCCATTCTTTGTACCCCTGCCTCCTTCTCTGGGGTGGGACTGCTAGGGAGAGGCCCCTGGCTGTTAGGACTGATTTGGGGTGTCATGTTGGGGCACTGGTGTGTTCTGCTCACGTGTCTGTATACCTGTCCATCTACATTTCAAGAGTGGTGCATGCTGAATATGGACATTGGAAACTGTGCAGATGGGTAGAAGGTAAAGAGGGCAGGTTTGTGTCCATACTCCCCTTCCTTTGAGCTCTGCTTTTTGGAGGACAGTTTGCTGTGTACCCTCCATGCTTCTGCAGACACACAACACACACACACACGCACATGCGCGTGCGCTTGCATGCTTTGTGCAGGAGTGAGGTGTAGGAGGTGGGAGCACAGGTCATTTGCTTGTGGCTCAGCAATCCATTGTGGACATTCGTGGCAGTGTGCGTAGATTGCCTTCATTCTTTGTTTCGAGACGGAATCTTGCTCTGTTGCCCAGGCTGGAGTGCAGTGGTGTGATCACAGCTCATTGCAACCTCTGCCTCCTGGGTTCAAGTGATTCTTCTGCCTCAGCCTCCTGAGTAGCTGGGATTACAGGCCTGCGCCACCATGGTCTGGCTAATCTTTATGTTTTTAGTAGAGACAGGGTTTCGCCATGTTGGCCACGCTGGTCTCGAACTCCTGGCTTCAAACGATCTGCCTGCCTCGGCCTCCTAGAGTACTGGGATTATAGGCGTGAGCCATTACACCCAGCCTGCCTTCATTCTTCTTAATGGCCGTGTTGCATTTTATAGTTGGCCTAGACTTTGCTTTACTTTGCAGGCTATTTTCTTTTAGGATTGTGGGAACTTATTTGGGAGGTTACCATACACGTTTCGAGCTTGCTTTAAATATTAATTGGCAAAGACATAGGATAGTTCAGCTTGGAGTAGGATTTGCCTGCCAGGTCAAAGGGTTCTGTTTTCTTAGTGAACCATGAAAATGATAAATTTGAATTTTGGATTTTTCTCCTCTCTCAGGGGCAGATAAGAGTGGCCAAGAAGCGGGTCGTGATGGCATCCCTCTACCTGGGGACAGGTCCTTTGGAACAGGAACTGGTAAGGTTTATGGGGAGATGGTCCTGGTAGCAGTAGTGAATGGGCCCCAACGTGCCACAGCTTTTTGTGCCATGGAGTTGGTGTGGAGCTGCCTTTCCTTGGCCTCCATGTCAGAGCCAGCTCTTATTTTTGTTGCCCCAGATGTGGGCATGTCAGGAGGGCCTGGTGTGGGGAGGGCCTGGTGAGGAGAGCGTGGGGAGGCCTGGTCTGGGCCTTCTTGGCCTCACTGGCAGTGTCCTCCTACTCACACAGGGTCCCAGGCAGCTCTGCCTGCCAGTTCAGGGCTTGGCCGACTGTGGCCTGCAGGCAAAATCTGACTTGCCACCTGTTACGGTGTGACCTGTGAGCTAAGAAAGAATGGTTTTTACATTTTCAAATAATTGGGAAAGAAAAAAAATAGTATTTTATGACTTACGAAAACTTTAAATTTCTGTATTGGTAAATAAAATTTTGTTGGAGCACAGCCACACTCATTCGCCTATTATCTGTGGTCAGTTTCATGCTGCAGCGGCAGAACTGGGTAGTTGTGACAGCGCCGATCTGGTCTGTAAAGCTCCAAATATTTACTCTCTGGCTGTTTACACAAAAGGCTTTCTGACCCTGTACTGGACAAACGGACCTGAGTGCAAGTTGGGCTGGCTGGCTGGTTCTGCCACGGGCTGGTGTCAAGTGCCAGGGCTGCTGCCAGCCTTGTTCCCCTTGGACTTGCTGTTGTGCCATCCTTGTCACTTACAGTGAGATAGGTGGGTGGGAAGGAGCCAGCAGTCCCCAGGTTTGTATGAGCTGTTGGGGCCAGCGCAAGTTCTGGTACGTGGCGGGAGCTGAGGCTCAGCTGAAGTGAGTCTGTGAATGAGATCACGTCTTTCTCTTGGTCTCCTGGGATTGCTTTCCGCTCCGTATGGTGAAACGGATGGGGCCCATTGCCCAGAGTTAGTGCCGTTTCTTGGTCTGTCCTCGTTCAGAGTTACAGGTGGGAGCTATAGGGATTGGAGTGTGGAGAGGGAGGGGCAATGGGTTCATATGAGCCGTCCTCCCCTCTCTGCCTCTCCTAAGAAGGAGGCCTCCCTCTTTTTTTTTTTTTTTTTTGAGACAGAGTTTCGCTCTTGTTGCCCAGGCTGGAATGCAGTGGCGCCATCTTGGCTCACCACATCCTCCTCCTCCAGGATTCAAGTGATTCTCCTGCCTCAGCCTCCCGAGTAGCTGGGATTACAGGCATGCGCCACCACCGCGGCTAATTTTGTATTTTTAGTAGAGATGGGATTTCTCCATGTTGGTCTCCATGTTGGTCAGGCTGGTCTTGAACTCCTGACCTCAGGTGATCTGCCCACCTCGGCCTCCCAAAGTGCTGGGATCACAGGTGTGAGGCACCACACCCGGCTGCCTCCCTCTCTTTTAAGGATATACCCTCCCCTCCAAGCCTGGGAGCCTGTGTGTTCTCACGGGAGAAGAATGGAATGTCAGCACTGCGGAGAGTGGCCAGTGGGCAGGCCGTGTCTTGGATTCATTCATTTGGCAAATATTTACTAAGTGCTCTTTACGAGGAGGGCACTGTTTGTTTTGTCTGTGAGGATTATCTGTGTTGAAATGTACGTGGGACCTGGTGTCGTAGCGTTTCCAGGGTGGCATGGGCTGGCTGTCAGGCAGCACGCCTCTGCCTGCAGGTCCCCTTCCATTCCTGGAGGAGATCAGGGCCCCTGGGTGCTGCTTCTGATGATCAAGAAGGGGCTCTCAGACAGAGAGTTTTTGTGGTGTTGGTGTCCGAGTGCTGATGGCACAAACCTGTCTTTGGAGAAGATGACGAGAGCACTAGCCGATGGGGCGTTTTGTTTTTCTTTGAATACACACACCTCTTTGGGTCTTAATGTTCTCTTCTTCTGTGTTCTTTCTTGGTAGGTGGACTGCCTGGAAAGTACTCTAGAAAAGTCACTCCAAGCAAAGTTTCCTTCAAATCTCAAGGTCTCCATTCTCTTAGACTTCACGCGGGGCTCACGAGGTAGGTGGCATGCACGCCTGGCCCCTCATGCTTCCTGTGTCAGATCCTCAGTTCCAAGAGGAGTTACTGTCACCCCCTCGTCCCCAGGCAGAGACAAGGCTATTTGAAGATCATCCAAGCTGGCCCAGGATGCCTGATTGTGTGAGTTAGAATTTTTTTCTGCAGCAAGTGACTGAAAGCCCAACTAAAATCAGCTTAGGCAGGAGCCGAGTCAGTGGCACGCCCTGTGGTCCCACCTGCCTGGGAGGCTGAGGTGGGAGGACTGCTTGAGCTGGGAGTTTGAGTCCAGCCTGGGCAATGTAGCCAGACTTTGTCTCTTGAAAAACTGCCTTAGGCAAAAAGACTTTTTTGGACTCCTGTGACTGATCTGCTTTGGGTGGCTTGTGATTTGGGGTTTGGCTGTGTCGCCAGGATCCATCCCGTAGCTGTTTTCTTTGGCCTGGCTTCCTTCTCAGGCTCTGTGTGGTGACCCCTGGTGGCTTAGGCTTGTCTCCCTATGATACCTTGTCCTTTGAAAGAGTCTGGTTTCCTGAGAATTCGGTCAAAGTTCCTGAGTGGCCTGACCGTGGCGTGCCCAGCCGGGAGCTTGGACTGTGCCGAATAGTCCGGCCCAGGCCTGTGTGCTCCGCCATGGAGCTGGGGGTGAGGGGCAAGGTGGGTGGGGTCGTCTCCCAGAGCAGAAATGCTGAGAGTGGGTGGGGTAGTGCCCCAGGAGGAGGTTGGGTGCAGTTACCAGGAGGAGGGTGAATGGGTGCTGGGTGGCAAAAAGAGCAGGCATCTGCCATGCTGAGCACTCCAGGCCTGAGATGTGGCTAGCATACGGGACAGAGGTTGGCCCGGGAGTCCCCTGGCTAGGAGTAGCCCCAGTTGGTGTGAATGATTCAGGTGGACGGCGCAGGTGAAGGCGAGGCCACGTGGAGGTGGCTCCTCACTGGAGGCAGGATGCCTTCCTGTTGTGAGTCAACGGCCGCTTTCTCTGTCCTGTGTTCAGGCCGGAAGAACTCCCGCACGATGCTGCTCCCACTTCTGCAGAGGTTCCCAGAGCAGGTCCGAGTCTCCCTCTTTCACACGCCGCACCTCCGCGGCCTGCTCCGGCTCCTCATCCCTGAGCGCTTCAACGAGACCATTGGCCTGCAGCACATTAAGGTGTATCTCTTCGACAACAGCGTCATCTTGAGCGGGTGAGTGCTTCCCACTGCCGGTGCTTTTGCCTTCCTGCTCTGCAGGCTGGAGGGCAGTGGAATAGGAACAGTGGGAAACCCGTTACCCTCAGCCTTGGAGAACCTGCTTGTAGGTCTGGTTGCTGTGCACCCGCAGCACCTCCCTGGCACTGTCTCTGCCACTGAGGCTGGAAACCCCCAGGGACTGACTGGAAGTCACTGTTGATTGGGCACTTAGCATGTGCTGGCCACTCAGGTGTGTTGTCTGTTCCCACCCCCAGTGACCCTCTGTGGTATTTTCCTCACTGTGTACATGTGGAAACAGATCAGAGAGGATGAGTCACTTTGTCAGGTAGACAGAGCCAGAAAAATAAACAAGAGTCAGACCTGGAAGTCCAGGTCCTTGGGTTGATAAATGTGGGCCCTTTCACAGGCCCTCCCCTCGGCAGTGGGACCAGGATTGGGTTGCTGGTGCTGAGAGAAAGCCCTTGATTGCATCCTTGCTCTGGGACGGTTCCAGTGGCAGCTGTCACTTAGTGGGACAGAGAAAACAAACAAACATGGGCACTGATAAATAGCCCTGCATGGGCCGGGCGTAGTGGCTCACGCCTGTAATCCCACACTTTGGGAGGCTGAGGCAGAGGGATCACCTGACGTTAGAAGTTCAAGACCAGCCCGGCCAACATGGTGAAGCCCCATCTCTACTAAAAGTACAAAAATTAGCTGGGTGTGGTGGTGCACGCCTGTAACCCCAGCTACTCAGGAGGCTGAGGCAGGAGGATCACTTCAACCTGGGAGGCAGAGGCTGTAGGGAGCCAAGATCATGCCACTATACTCCAGCCTGGGCGACAGAATGAGGCTGTCTCAGGACAAATAAGCAAACAAAAGCCCTGCGTGGTTAGCTGACTTTCTGTGTCTGCATCTCCTCTTCTCAGCTAGATTGTCAGCTCCTTGAGAGGAGGAGCCTGTGGGTCACTCGCTGTGTCAGCTTGGATCGACTCTGGCTTTGTCTCTTGCACGTATTCATTGCTGAGTAGCTATTTGTTAACTGCATGTTGACCTGAGTTTGTCGCCCCCCTGCTAGTTCACCTGAGAACCTGCGTCTTCCATCCCTGTAGTGCAAACCTGAGTGACTCCTACTTCACCAACCGCCAGGATCGCTACGTGTTCCTGCAGGACTGCGTGGAGATCGCCGACTTCTTCACGGAGCTGGTGGACGCGGTGGGGGATGTGTCCCTGCAGCTGCAGGGGGACGACACGGTGCAGGTGGTGGATGGGATGGTGCATCCTTACAAAGGTAGGGGCTGCCGCTGACACCCTTCTGTGGCTGTGGGTGGGGTGGAGTGAGGGCCCAGGAGAGCACGCCTCTGGGTGGCCTTGCCGCAGGCATAGGGATCTTGGGTGGGAGGGCTTCATTCTGCTTTTGGCCTTAAAAAAGCCAGACAGATGTGACTCACTGGCCATCAGTCATGCTCTGTGGGTGAGAGAGCCGGCCCAGGAAGGCGGGAGTGTGGGAGGGAAGATGCAGGTGAGGAGGACTCAGGCAAGGGTATGCAGCGGCGTGACCTGGTGACCCAGGTCTCAGGTGAACTAGCGGGGGCGGGTGACAAACTCAGGTCAGGATGCAGTTAACAAGTAGCTACTCAGCAATGAACACGTGTGCCTGGGCGAGTGACCCAGGAGCCTGCCCTGCATCACAGGAAGCAACCAGGCCAGCAGCTGTTCGCCTAGGGCCCATTTCCCCAAGCCTATCACTTGTGCCTGTGACTTCCAGCTCCCTTGAGCTCTGTGGCCCCCTGCCTGGAAAGTGAAGTGTAAGAGCTCTCAGATCTGCCCACTGGATCCAGGCAGGTCCTGGCATGAGTGTTCCAGGCCATTTGCATTCCTGTGATTCCTGTGGCTGTGGCTCCCCCATGGCCTTTAGAGGGCTGCTGCTGAATTTGCTGGATTTGAACTTGGGGAGGAGGAGCTGAACTTGGACCTTGTTGGGAGAAGAACTCTCCGCGTCTTGTGGACCTAGAATGGAAGCATTTAAGTGGGCCATCTGGTGGAAGCCCTGTCCTTGTGTTAGGGGAGCCCTGGGCCTCAGAGCCCGACTGTGATGGTGTGATGCTCTGCCCGCCGCCATGCTCAGTTACTACTGGTGTATTTTGAATTTCATCCATAAAGAGCTTGTGGAGCTCTGCATCTCTCTTGCTGAGTGCCTGCCTAGCATCCTCAGCTCTGCCTTTTGGCCCAGAAAGCCTAAAATATTTACCATCTGACCCTTACAGAAAATGTATTTGGATCCCTGGTCTAATGTAACGGGCCAGGCATGGATATGAGAGAAAACGGGCCGTGCTTAGGCCAAGATGAGAGCCAGCACGCTCGGAGCAGGAGTGGGGAGACTCGAGCCCAGCTGTGCTTGGGAGAATGTGAGTCCACAGAGAGGTTCAGGGTGTGCTCAGGGCCCCGGCGCTCCTCCCTCCCGCAGCCCCGTCCAGCGTGCGGCAGTGTGACTCCTTTCTCCCCGGAGGGCGCTGGCATCGACAGTCCAGACTCCTGCACGGGCTGGTCCTTCTCTTTGTTCTGGAGCCCAGCCCTGAAAGGCACTGAGTGTCTGTCCCTGCTCTCAGCTCAGACCGTGCAAGCCGGCAGGATGGCCCGGGACAGCCCTCCTTCCCTGTTTCACTTCCCTCACCAGCCTCGCCAAAGCCTTGTTGTCTTGTCAGTCCTTTGTCAGACAGTCGACTTTCTCCATTTTTGTATCGTTTTCATTCTAGTAATTTCTATTCTTATTTTTTTTGTGTGTATATATATATGCACATACACACACTCTCACATATATGTACACACACACATATGTATTTTTTGAGATGGAGTTTTTTGCTCTTGTCACCCAGGCTGGAGTACGGTGGCACGATCTCAGCTCACTGCAACCCCTGCCTCTCAGGTTCAAGTGATTCTCCAGCCTCAGCCACCCAAGTAGCTGGGGTTACAGGTTACTGTTTGTACTCTTGGTAGAGACAGGGTTTCGCCATGTTGGCCAGGCTGGTCTCAAACTCCTGGCCTCAGGTGATCTGCCTGCCCCGGCCTCCCAAAGTGCTGTGCTGGGATTACAGGCGTGAGCCACTGTGCCTGGCCTGTTCTTTTTTTTTTTTTTTTTTTTTTTTTTGTTGAGACAGAGTCTCGCTTTGTCGCCCAGACTGGAGTGCAGTGGCCGGATCTCAGCTCACTGCAAGCTCCGCCTCCCGGGTTCACGCCATTCTCCTGCCTCAGCCTCCCGAGTAGCTGGGACTACAGACGCCCACCACCTCGCCCGGCTAGGTTTTTTTTGTATTTTTTAGTAGAGATGGGGTTTCACCGCGTTAGCCAGGATGGTCTCGATCTCCTGACCTTGTGATCCGCCCGTCTCGGCCTCCCAAAGTGCTGGGATTACAGGCTTGAGCCACCGTGCCCGGCCCTGCCTGGCCTGTTCTTTATTTTTGCTTCCCTATACTGTATTCATGGTTATATTCTGTTGTTTCTTTCCCCTGTCTTCTTGAGTTGGGTGCTTAACTCATTAATTCTCAGCTTTGTTTTGTCTGATAGTAGCATCTTTCCCTTTAGTGTGTCAGCATGGTTACCTGTCACCAGTGTCTTGTCCGAATACAAAGGGCACCCCATGCAGAGCCTGAGCCTGCCCGTTCTTCCTCTCTCCCAGGACTGTCACTGCTGTGGGAAGCTTTCCCACATGGTGATGTGCTTATCCAAGCTGATGGTGTTTATCCAAGGCTTTCCCTGTGACCCCATCTGTGGAATACGCACGCTCCTTTTTTGGTTATATTTGTATGTCTTTATTTGACTGAGCTTCCTTATTGAAGTAGAACATGCACCCCGAGCACCAGTCGTAAGTATACAGCCATGAACCTGTTCCTAGTGGACCCGCTTCCTGAAGGCCCCCTGTATGTGCCCCTGCAAGGGATTACCCCCAAGGTAACCACTATCCTGATTTCTCCCCCTGTCAGTTTGTCTTGCCTGGGTTTAAACTTGTTTGTAATTGGACTGATAGGTTGACATGGCTTTCACTTCTGCCTGAGTGTGGGCTGTTGTGGGCCAGGCCCTTGTCTTGGGCAAACTGTATCCCCAGAGGAGCCTCGCTCTGGGCTTGGGGTCCTGGGCCCACTCAGTGTGTGTTCAGTGAACATCCAGTTGTAGCATCTGCACCTGCCTGTCACATGCCCCGTCCCCTGAGCTGGGCAGAATCTAGATCCTTTCTTTCTCTTCCCTTCACTCCTCTCTCACGTCTTCCTCTAGGTGACCGGGCCGAGTACTGCAAGGCAGCCAATAAGAGGGTCATGGATGTGATCAACTCAGCCAGGACCCGCCAGCAGATGCTGCATGCCCAGACCTTCCACAGCAACTCCCTTTTGACCCAGGAAGATGCAGCAGCTGCTGGGGATCGCAGACCAGCCCCTGACACCTGGATTTATCCGCTGATTCAGATGAAGCCCTTCGAGATTCAAATTGATGAGATTGTCACTGAGACCCTGTTGACTGAGGCGGAGCGTGGTGCAAAGGTCTACCTCACCACTGGCTACTTCAACCTGACCCAGGCCTACATGGACCTGGTCTTGGGCACTCGGGCTGAGTACCAGATCCTGCTGGCCTCACCAGAGGTGAATGGCTTCTTTGGGGCCAAGGGAGTGGCTGGCGCCATCCCAGCGGCCTATGTGCACATCGAGCGGCAGTTCTACAGCGAGGTGTGCAGCCTGGGACAGCAGGAGCGGGTCCAGCTGCAGGAGTACTGGCGGAGGGGCTGGACGTTCCATGCCAAAGGTGCGCAGCAGCTGGCTGGAGGACGGCCCAGCGTGGGACAGCCACAAGCATGGGCAGGGGGTGGGGGAGCCCTGGCACCTGCCTGTTAGAGCACTGCACTTCTCCCTTCTTACCTTCCCAGCAGCCCTTGCAGGCACAGCATAGCTGTCCCATGACTTGGGGAGAGGAGAGCATTCATCTCCCCAAGTGGATTTTTTTTTTTTTTTTCCGAGACAGTCTTGCTCTGTTTGCCAGGCTGGAGTGCAGTAGTATGATCTCAGTTCACTGCAACCTCCACTTCCCGGTTCAAGCAGTCCTCCCACCTTAGCCTCCTGAGTAGCTGGGACTACAGGCGTGTGCCCCCACGTCTAGCTAATTTTTTGTATTTTTGTAGAGATGGGAGTTTACCATGTTGCCCAGGCTGGTTTTGAACTCCTGAGTTCAAGTGGTCTGCCTGCCTTGCCTCCCCAGAAGTGAATTTCAGTTGTGTAAAATCCGTCTCTTTTATGCATCAAAGACCATATATGGTCACATCATTTGGTGGCTGTTGTAAAGATGTGGTGATGTAACCTCTCCTAAGAGATGGAGAGGAACATGCCTTAGCCGTGAGACGGAATGTTGCTCTCGTTGCCCCGGCTGGAGTGCAATGGCGCAATCTTGGTTCACCACAACCTCCTCCTCCTGGGTTCAAGTGATTCTCCTGCCTCAGCCTCCTGAATAGCTGGGATTACAGGCCTGTACCACCACGCCTGGCTACTTTTTTATTTTTTTATTTTATTTTATTTTTATTTATTTTTTTTATTTTTTTTTGAGACGGAGTCTCGCTCTGTAGCCCAGGCTGGAGTGCAGTGGCCGGATCTCAGCTCACTGCAAGCTCCGCCTCCCGGGTTCACGCCATTCTCCGGCCTCAGCCTCCCGAGTAGCTGGGACTACAGGCGCCCGCCACCTCGCCCAGCTAGTTTTTGTATTTCTTAGTAGAGACGGGGTTTCACCGTGTTAGCCAGGATGGTCTCGATCTCCTGACCTCGTGATCTGCCCATCTCGGCCTCCCAAAGTGCTGGGATTACAGGCTTGAGCCACCGCGCCCGGCTACTTTTTTATTTTTATTTTTATTTTTTTTGAGATAGAGTCTTGCTCTGTCACCCAGGCTGGAGTGCAGTGGCCGGATCTCAGCTCACTGCAAGCTCCGCGTCCCGGGTTTACGCCATTCTCCTGACTCAGCCTCCCGAGTAGCTGGGACTGTAGGCGCCCGCCACCTTGCTTGGCTAGTTTTTTTTGTATTTTTAGTAGAGACAGGGTTTCACTGTGTTAGCCAGGATGGTCTTGATCTCCTGACCTCATTATCTGCCTGTCTCGGCCTCCCAAAGTGCTGGGATTACAGGCTTGAGCCACCGCGCCCAGCCTACATTTTTATTTTTAGTAGAGATTGGGTTTCTCCATGTTGGTCAGACTGGTCTTGAACTCCCGACTTGAGGTGATCCGCACACCTTGGCCTCCCAAAGTGCTGGGATTATAGGCGTGAGCCACCACACCCGGCCCTTAGCCTTATCTTGATGGTCAGAGTTCTTGCTTGTTGGCAACTTTTTTTTTTTTTGAGATGGAGTCTTGCTGTGTTGCCCAGGCTGGAGTGCAGTGGCGTGATCTCAGCTCATTGCTACCTCCACCTCCTGGGTTGAAGTGATTCTTGTGCCTCAGCCTCCCTAGTAGCTGGGATTACAGGCATGCACCATCCTGCCCGGCTAATTTTTGTATTTTTAGTAGAGATGGGGTTCCACCATGTTGGTCAGGCTGGTCTTGAACTCAAGCCTGACCTTGTGAGCCACCTATCTCAGCTTTCCAAAGTGCTGGGATTCCAGGCGTGAGCCACTGTGCCTGGCTGGCAGTGCCTTTTTCAGGGAGAAAGAGGATTCATTAGGGATCATTTGTTTTGGCATCAGCAACCCAGTTTTCCTGTCTTTTCCTCACTATTGCCTTTGGTTTTTTTTTTTTTTTTTTGAGACGGAATCTCGCTCTGTCGCCCAGGCTGGAGTGCAGTGGCCGGATCTCGGCTCACTGCAAGCTCCACCTCCCGGGTTCACGCCATTCTCCTGCCTCAGCCTCTGGAGTAGCTGGGACTACAGGCGCCCGCCACCTTGCCCGGCTAGTTTTTTGTATTTTTTAGTAGAGACGGGGTTTCACCGTGTTAGCCAGGATGGTCTCGATCTCCTGACCTTGTGATCCACCCGTCTCGGCCTCCCAAAGTGCTGGGATTACAGGCTTGAGCCACCGCGCCCGGCCGCCTTTGGTTTTGTCCCTATATGCCAGTGTCTGCCCTTTTTCCCCATAGCTAAGGAAATGCAGGCTCTGTGCACAGTCTTGCTGGTGGTGGGTGCTAGGAAGAGGGTCACACTCTGCATTGTATGTTTATCCCTCTCAGGTATCTGGCGGAGCAGCCGAAATGGGGCAGAATCCCAGGGGCAGCTCCTCCGAGACATGGGTACAGCATGCTGGAAAGCTTGTGCTTAGCAGTGGGCTTACCCCATGGCCTCTTGATGTTGGGAGGGTGCCCGCCTCTAGTAGCGGGACCATAACTCCTTTCTGACACTGGGGACCCCCAACCCCGGGGCTAGTCTGTCTAGAGAAGGGGAAATGGTACCTGGAGGCCCCTGCGCCATGAGTACAGCCTGCAGCTTTTCTAGCTTCTCCCTGAGCAGTCTAGAGGCCTGTTTTGCTCATTCTCTTGTCCTGGTCCTAGTGGCTTTCGGAAGAGCTGAGCGAGTGGGAGGCCTCTGCGGCTGGGGTCTAGGCTGTGGACTGCTGTGGGCACACATCTGTGTTGTTGAGACTCGAGGATCTTCCAGTGCTCAGGTGGTTTGTTTTTGTTTTCTTTAAACCAGTGTTTTTCAACTGGGGGGGGTGCATTGTAAGAAATACTGAAGCCAGCCAGGCGCGGTAGCTCACACCTGTAATCCCAGCACTTCGGGAGGCCCGAGGCGGGCGGATCACGAGGTCAGGGGATCGAGACCATCCTGGCTAACATGGTGAAACGCAGTCTCTACTAAAAAATACAAAAAATTAGCTGGGCGTGGTGGTGGGCGCCTGTAGTCCCAGCTACTTGGGAGGCTGAGGTAGGAGAATGGCGGGAACCCGGGAGGTACAGCTTGCAGTGAGCCGAGATCCGGCCACTGCACTCCAGCCTGGGCGATAGAGCGAGACTCTATCTCAAAAAAAAAAAACCCAAAAAAACAAACTGAAGCTCAGGTTCCCCTAGACCTTCATCCAGCTCTGTGGGGATTGAACCCACCATGGTGTTTGAAAAACGCCCCGAGTAGATTCTCATGCCTAGCCTTAAGAACTCTCCCGGCTTGGAATGGGAAGCTTCTGGCCTGTCCAGGGCTTCCCATGTGCTGCTTTGAGGCCCACAGGCCTGTCTAGGCAGGTAGCATTGTTTGGTGCGGGAAGTGACTGCCACACTGTCCTGCAGGGCCCATCTCTGGCATGTGTGGTGACTGAACCAGGCTGGTGGTCAGTGTCTCAGGGCAGGTGGCCCCAGCCTGTGGCAGGTGTGGAAAGTAATTTTGGATTGGCATTACTTCTGGGAATAACAGCAGTACCTAGGGATGGGGTATTGAAAGAGCTGGCCAGTGGGACAGCTTTGACCTTTGGGGAGGCCTCAGACCCATACTGCCGTGTGCTGGGGAGCTGCAGAGGAGTGACTAGGCATTGCTCTCCTCAACTGCACTGTGCTGGAACGATGAGGAGGCCCCTTAACTCAGCCTGGAGGGTGGGGGGCTCCTGGCCTGTAGCTTCTGACTCTGCCACCGGTTATTTCCCTGAAGCGGCTTTGATAAACGTGAGTTGACTCCCCAGTTACCGCTGAAACAGAAACATCCAACCGGCTTTTCCGGTGTGTCTTGCCTTTTCCCGGACTGGTGTGCTTCTGCCGCTCCCTCTCTCCTGCCCTGGTGTGGGTGGTGTGTGTGGGGGGATGGTGTGTGTGTGGGGGTGGGGTGCGTTCCCTGCAACCCAGGAGTGCCGGACTGGTGGGAAATTGGGGATGATCTTACAGCTGGATCCCAGGGCATGTGCCCGTGTGGGGGATGGGATATAGGGGAGAGTTGGCAGAGGTGGGTGAGGGATGGATGGTGCGTGGAGGGGGCTGCTGCTGAGCAGAGGGGCTACATCCTAAAGCCAGGAACCAGAGGTCAGAGGTCACTTGATGCTGAAGTGAGAGGCGAGGGTCCTTCCCTGCTCAGTGGCTGTGTCGCCAGTGGGATCTTAAGTCAGCACCTCTTCAGGCCCATCTTTTGATGGTCACTTCCTCCAGAGCAGCCTGTGTCAGGTTGAGAGATGAGTGGGCGGCCGCAGGTTGCTTGTGGATTTGGATGGCTGGCCCAGTGGACCATTTCCTGTCTACCCTTTGCATGGCGCTTGCTGGGTACAGGCTGTGTGCCTCTTTGGGTGTGTCTGTGTTTGGGCCCCAGAAAATTCCTGCCGGTGGCTATGCGCTGATACCTCCACTCCCTCACCCAGGCTCCTGTAGGACAGGCCTGGGCTGATCTCAGCTCCTCCTGCTCCCAGAAGCCCTTGGGCAGAGGCGGGTAAGCCAGGACTGTGGATTCCAGATCCTCGCCCCTCAGACAGCACTCTGCTGTCAGCACAGCACTCCTCTGGGAGCCAGGCAACAAGAGGCTTTGCGGAGTGACTGTGTGGAACTTGCTGGTGGCCCCATGAGTGTAGTGATGCAAGGAAGAGCAGCGTGGGGGGAAGAGGTACCTTCTCATGTGAAATGACCCCGTGGCTCAGCAGCTGCCAGTGGATTTCAGTGCAGTCTGGTGACAGAAAATTCAGAGGGCTGGCGTTTTTTCTTTAGTGTTTTGTGTGTTGTCAAGTATTGCCAGGACTGTCTGGCAGTTGCTTAGATGCCTTGTTGGAAAGATTCCTGTGTGATAACCATCTGCCGATCGTTCAACAGCCTGATACACCTCTTTTGCGTACTATGCTGATTTCTTAACATATTTTATCTGTCAATCTGTCATGTA